CTACATCTTAAAAATCTCTGCTGAGTTACTTAATCCCTGCATGAGAGGTGCGATTCTGCTGTCACGTGCAGCGGGGCACCTCCATCAGACTGGAACTCCATTGAGTTCAGTGAAATTGCTCCAGATTTACACCAGGGGGAGCGAGATCAGGATTCAGTCCATCCTCTCCACTCCGAACATCCGAAGGTTTGAGCAGCTGGGCTCTCTCTGCGTCCTTATGTGTGTACATTAGACTGGCTGGGAGCCAGCGTAGGCTGCTCAGGAGCTGGTAGACTCAGCTCCCAGGGCTGTCCCCTGATGTCTTCTTTGTCCACAGTTCCAGAAAAACACCGCCCTCCTGCCATCTGCCTCCTCCCTTCTTCCAGGCTGGTGCAACCCCTCTCCCCCCTCACACGCTCTGCACCGCCCCAGGCCAATGCACACACCACCTCCAGGGCCAGGTGGAGGTCATCTTCTGTGCGCGCCAGCCCATGGGCAATTGCAATACGAGGAGCAGACTCTCGTTTGCCACCTCATTGTCCTCTTCCCCACCCCCCTCCACTGGCTCCCGGAGGATCCGGGGGGCTGCCAAGTCAGCAGCGAATGGAACGTACATCGCTTCTGTTGCTTCCCTCAGGCATCTGGGATTCATCAGCGGGCCCAAAATAGGTTTCGATGTGTGAAGAGTGAGCAGCAGGGGGGAGGAGGGAAGGTGTGGGGGGGGAGGCGTCGGTTTGAAAATCAGAGAGGGAGCCACGAACAAGCTCCTCGGATTCTTTTTTAACCTCTGCCGGCAGAAGCTTGAAGTGGCTCCTCCTGCCAGAGGAAATCAGTTTTCCGAACCCCAGGTCTCACCATCCCACCTCTCTTAGCCAATCTCCGTCCGTTCACAGCTGTCCAGGAGAGACTGGGCCTGAGAAAGGGCTTTGGAGTGGAATACGCAGGTGCCAGGGCCTGGGAACTACGCCTTGTGGTCCCCTGCCTCCTTCTGACCGAGCATTAGTGAGATCTCTGAGTCTCATTAGGCCAGGGCGGCTCTGGCTGGGGAGAAGCAGCAGGCTAAGTTATTGTTATATTGGTATATATACATGGAAGCATCACTATTAATGTTCCCCTTTTCCCCGAGTTCCCAGGATTCAGCCTAGAATGTCTCCCAGCAGAAGGACAGACATTCCCCCTCCATAGCAATAGGATTTCTTTTGTTATCCTTGACCGGTTTCACAGAGGTAGCCATGTTAGTCCAGATCAGCAAAAATGAGGCATCGTTATGGCACCTTAGAGACTAACTTCACCCCGAGCCCTGGTCTCTAAGCCTGGATACTTGCTGGCTGTATTATTTTGAAGTTCTTTCTCTCCCCCCAATCGCTCTTCCTTCCCCTGACCGCGCTGTCACAGGCGATAAGAAAGGCTACAACACTCAGCATAAAAAATGGAGCCAACAGGAAAGGATCATTCCCAATATCAATATCTAGAGGTCCTTCCCATTGACAGCACTGGTCTTCTCGGTGCTCATATAAGCAGATCTCTCCTCCTCGTGGGCTGTGGGGCAAGAGGAACTTTGGCCTGTGTGAGTGCTAATGGCACCATCCTCTCTAGGATCCCGAGGGTTAGAGTCTCACCCATTGTGGTAAGCTGTAATATTGGAAGATCTGCCCTTCTCAACACTGCTGTCATGCTGCCCAGCTAACAAGGAGCTCTGGTCCCCTCAGCGGTGACCACCTCTGTACAGGGCTGAATGAGGGGAATTCAGACTCAGAGACGGGGTAGAGGGGAGCAGCAACCAGAAGAATAGGTGACCTGGCATGTTGGATGAAAACCATCTATCCTAAAATGTGTGTCCCACTCAAAGCACATAAGGTCTGATTCTCCTCTCACTCACGCCAATATAAATCAAGATGACCCCCCTGGAAATTGGTGAAGTCGCACCAGTGTAACACTGATTAAGTGAGAGGAGAACCAGGCGCATGAAGTCCAATAGAGAGCTTGTAGGGAATCTAGTAGATTAGTAGGGCTGGATTCCTGTCTGGTATAAATCCATTGAATCCAGAGATCAATTTGCCTTGTAGAGCTTTTGCCTACTGTGGGGAAGCTGGTGGGACTTAGCTAAGGGCTGGTTTACAGCTCTAGAGAATTCCATATGTTCTGGGTGGGGTGGGAATAAGCCTGTGATAAGAGGCTGGAGGCATTTATGTTTGAGATGAGGCAGGCAGCTCCAACCGGGGGTGCTGCCGCAGAGCACATGCCAGATGTCCTGCATTTGGCTT